CTCTCTCTCTCTCTCTCTCTCTCTTTTGCACTTCCTCCCCCCGCGAAGTCCTTCGTGACGGAAGGGCGGCGCGCACCACCAACCGCCGCTTCTTTTGCTTGAATTTCCCGAGAAAAAAGTGCGTAACTTCATGCAGCCTGCAAAAAGGGGATGTAATATTAGTGTGCAACGGGCCAAGGATGTCTATACGCGAGATGCTGGGGGATAAAATTATCAGAGTTTATTCCGGCATATTTATACTCTCCCTCTAAATCGGGAAGCACGGTGAATTATAAAGCACATCCGATTCCGCAGCTTCAAAATACGGTCACATACCGCATGGATCTCGTAAAGATTATAATAATAGACTCGTATCCTCATTTATATGCAGATCTTCTGAAAATGTCATTCACGATTGCCATTCCTTTTAATAGGAATGATCATCTATAAAGTTCAGCGTTAAATAACTGTTACTTTTGTCCCGACCTGGCCTGTCCTTTCAGCCTGACATTTCGTGGGAAAATGTTACTTGCGATCAGTGATCGTCCCTTAAATATACAGTGCCATTCTTAATACGCGATAATGAACAATAATTAGCACTGTTATTAGTAAGTATTTTTTAAAAATCTTAAGAAACGGATGTTTAAATTTAATAACAAAAAGCATTATAATTACAATCGGCTCGATAACTTTTTCAAAAGTATCTAAAATATCAAGTTATTTATGTATATTATTAATCGACGAGCAATCGGAGCAATCGACTCGAGGAAGAAGGTGAGGGCGCGTTTTGATGTAGGTTGAATCGGATGCGGCGGATGCTGCATAATAAAATGCGGCCACGTATACTGATGGATCGCGATACCCGCGCATCAGTAGCTAGCAGTAAAGCTTAATGTTGATTGCGTCGAGTTTCGGGCAAGCCCGTAAAAATTCTGATTAACCCGCCGGACGTGACGGCATGTACCATTCTAAGTATACTCCGTGCAAAATAAAAATAGACGAAAAAAAAGATAAATAAAAAAAAGAGAGAGAGGGAGTACAGAAAAATAGTACAGGGAGAGGAGGTATGAAGGCTCGGGACTGTATTCGTGCGATCGCAAAGAGGGACATTGAGTTACTTTATATGCGCAGGTTGCGGCATTGCGTGCAACAAAACGATTTGCGGGTGAGGATCTCGCGACGATGTTGGATTCAATAAAGGAGCGTATTCGAAAATGCAGTTGCGTGCGCTTAAAGAATTTCTCTTTTCAATCCCTAAGGAAGACCGTTCTTGATTCTTAAACGCGTTACATTGCGAGCGCGTTCGGATGGCCGATCGATGAATAAAGTCTAACAATAAGACTAATCTATATAGTACGCAAAGCATCCCTAAAAATTTAAGCCTAAAAACAACGCTACGATAGAAAAAGTTCGTAGAAAACTACGTATGTATATTTTTTTAGACGCATATACATCGTTTTAAATTAGCATTTAGGATATATACATATATCCTAAAATTCTAAAAAACGCAAAAGATAAATAAGACAGGATATATTTATGATTCATTAAAATATATCAAGAATTATGCTGAATAGCGGTCCATAAATCGGCGACCGTCGACACAGAAATCACCGCCGGAACGATAGTGTCGCTGTGACGGTGCAGTGTTGTCCGGGTGTAGGTACGTAAAATTCGAGGGGGAAAAAACCAGGCCGACTCCGTCCTGCCGGACCGGAGCAGCCAGCATCTCGACATCTCGTGAGATCAGAACTTAAGGCAATTGCGCCTCGGCGCACTGATACAACAAAGGGCACCGTCTAACGCGGTTATACCTCGTAAGCGAAACTCTATTGCTATATCCCATCCTATATTGGCCGTCTCAGAGAGCCCACCTTCATCCATCCTCCGTCTTCCCTTCCTCGCCTCCCGCGCCGTCCAACCTCCTTCAACCCTTATCGGTCTATTACTTCCTCTCTCTTTCCGCCGCTCCGTCTCTATCAATACCGACCTAATCTACTTTGCCGGCAAATAGTGTTCGCCTTCCCCAGACAATGTAACCCCCCTAGAAACCACCCTCGTCCTCCCCGTCCCCGCACTTGTATCTGCTCGCTACAAGTCCGTGCGCTTCCAGCTCGCCCACCCTCCCCCCCTCTTTCCTCCCCTCACCACTCGATTTATCCACGAGCAGAAAACGCGATCATCGCGCGCGTCCGCTCGAATTAATTTGGATTGTTTAGAGATTGTTTTGGAGGCGCGAGTAATTTTCCACGACGAGGGGAAACGAAGGGGAGGTAATCCCAAGTGCGATAAGCAGGAACGGAGTTAAGTAATGAATTGATCGTTCGCTTGCTCACCGTAATTCCTATAGGCGAGTCGATTATTGTTTACCGAATATAAAATTGAGGAAATTATCATAATATGACGGAGATTTAAATCTAGGGGAAAATATATTAAAAATCTAATTTGCGCCGAAAGTCTGATTAATGATATATCTCGGAAGGTGTGGTGGCAAAATCAACGACGAGATTCATCCCCCGATACAATGTTCTGCGAGCCACGCCTCATGTATTATAACGATTAAAAATTTTATAAAATATCGTAGATAATTGGAAAGATACGCGTTGCGAATTGGCTCATGCAATTGCAGTCTCTACATTAATTCAGATATCAAATCTTTGTCATCAATCTTGAAAAGTAACGATATGCGTTTAAATAGAATAAGTATAGATAATTTTTTTGATCAGCTTTTCATCAGTCAGCTTAATGCGTTAATTTGCAATTCTAAATATCATCTCCATGCATCATCGGATCATATCGATTATTACTCGGTTTTGCAACGTGCTCTCTATTAAAGATGGAATATCATTTTACCTATCAAAATTGATATCAACTTAAAAAAGTACGTTTCATAATCTTCATCGCTTCCTTTTCATTCATCAACAAGAAAGTATTATAAATAATGTCGTCTCCAGACTAAAATGATCTCGTGGATCATTTTAATTACACGGAACTGTTAATAAGTCATTCGAGAACACGTGGTCGTGCGTGCGCTCGGTTCAATTTGACGCTCACTCATTATTCCGTTAATTTATTTAATGAAAGCGTTAAAAGCAGGAAAGCGGTCTTACATAATACAGAGAGAGAGAGAGAGAGAGAGAGAGAGAGAGAGAGAGAGAGAGAGAGAGAGAGAGAGAGAGAGAGAGAGAGAGAGAGAGAGCACGACGGTTGTAATGCCGTGGGTTTCCGTCACAGGCGAACAAACAGAGCCCGTCGACTCAGCCCGCCGCGCCGTTGTTTTACGTGCCATCGGCGATTCGCGGTTTGAAACGCAACCGGTCCCTCTGCTCCGCACAGGCCGCGTCGCGTCGTGGCGAACGAGCTCGCTCGCTCGCTCGCTCGCTCGCCCGTTCGCCCGCCCCGTCCGCTCGCTCGCTCGCTCGCATTGCTTGTAATTTAGTAATGAATACGTACGTACCGCGCACACGTGAAGTGTGCGGGCCCGCTGATATGTAGACGCGTAACATCTGGCGGCCTATGAAATGCAGGCACGGCCGAACGAACGGCCTGCAGCTGAACGTTACGACCGACGAGAGTTATGAGCCCCGACTCAATCTCCGGTCCACGTCCGATATAATTGCGATACTAAAGCTCCGGCACCAAGCTCCGGTAAAGCGCGTAAATCGCGCGCTTTTCCTCCCCCCCTTCCCCCCCACACACGATGTTCGGTCACATCATCGAGACGTGTCGCCGATGATGATGACGGCCAGGGAGAGATGACTTTGCCGATCGAATTTTTCGTCGAGAAATAAAAAAAAAAAGCACAGGGAACCGCCTCTTCGCTGATAAGAAAAGTCTCGCGACGCTGTAGAGGGTGGAAAATTGTAGATGCGCTTTCTCACAAAACTGAAGGATAATAAGCTTTCGTTATCTATGTTTATAATATAAATAATTATAAATTTTCGTTATATATGTTTAAAAATAACTTGGAACGAAGGCTTTATAAAAGATATTAAATAGCTTACAATTATTAAATCGATTATTACCAACGTAAAGCTGTTTTTTTTTTCAAGAAAAAATTACATTAACTCTTTTATTCGAAAAATGACGATTCTTCTCAAAACTACCCCGTTTAAAGCTAATCTCCTCCTCTCCGCTCATGTTTAGCATCTATTAATTAATCGAATTCAGTGTGCGCAATTTTGATGCTCACGTGATTATTTTTGTAGCATATTGATCGAATTCAAATTATTCTCTCCTTGATCGCGTCACTCCCATTTGTATGAATACGATCGAAAAAAACTCGATTAAATGCAATTATTTGTCGCACTAATTCGTGACCGCTCGCAGAACATACGTTATCGACATGCGTTAGGATGCATAGAAAAACGCAACGAGTCGTGGCATGGCGCAAATGTAGCAACATATGCGTTACCGTGCTGTGAGTAAATCCAAACATCGTGAGCAAACACACAAACATATCGCAACCATTACGTTACCTTAATTGAGGTATTGCAACGGTCGTTTGACACTCCATGTTGCACTCCCCCGATGCATGATTACCCCGCGTTGCATCGCGTTTGTAAAATAAACAACATGTGATATATACGTATTACGGAAATCATCATTAAAAATCATCAGACTGCTGTAGAATATTTGCACGAAAATAGCGCTATCTCAAGTACGTATTTGTCGATATAATGTCGAAGCTAGCAAAAAAGAATTTCGAAATATATTTCCGGATTTAATTGTTTGTGTTAAAAAAATAGTTGATAAATCCTGTGGAGCTCTTTTTCTCTTGCGTTGCACATTTTGTAACAGAATAGCAAAAAAAAAAGATAATTATAGATATTAAAGAGTGATAAGGGATAAAATAACACGCACGAAAGTCTTGAGATATATGTATATAAATATGTGTATATATATACATAATTCAATACAATTTATATCTATGTCCACTTAATGGCATAAATAAAAGTTTCGATTATAATTCCGATACTTACATACATTTTCATACTCCCGCCGAGCACTTTGCGATTCATCGATTGTAGATCCCAAGCGTAAAAGGAAGACAAAATTGTTGACTAATTGATTTCTTGTCGACAATCTCGACAATTTTCATTTTTGAAGAAAAATGTGGATTGTTTAAATTTTGTTTAAACGAACGCAGACCAGGAAGAAACTGTAAGAGAAAAAAAAATGAAAAAATCTCCGGGAAAACGTGATTTGTTTGGATTAAATTTTTTTAATGGCCGCTCCTGTTATTCGTTTTAAAATCGCAATGAATGCAAAATCTATTTAAATTTTCAAGCAAATCATTAGCCTTTATTCATGGCATCTACACCAAAGTTTGCATTTAATCAAAAATAACAAAAATAGATGTTGAAAAATAAATGCTATTATAAAATGAATATTGATTTAAAACAAAAATACGTAACTATTAGTATACAATGATAATATATTTTTACATCTTATTTGTTAAATGTACAAGGAATCGTTAAATATTTTATTTTTTGTATAATTTGCTAAAAATTGTAAACAACGAAGAAGACAAATGAAAGAGAGGATATATTTATAATCTGCATTTAATAATACTCGTATGTAGCAATTAAGTTTCAACAAATGTTTCAAAAATATTTACTTCTAAGCGAGATATTGTACGGTAGCAACAGCATCTATTTTTTTTAGATTATTTAAATAATTGAATAACAATTTGTATCTCTATTAAATATTTCAAAAAACACGATTCACATTTGGAATATATTTTAAATCTTTTGAAAATTTGGCTTTGTACAAGTCTGAATAAAGGACCATTATTCGTCAAGTATTCACGGAAATTTTATATAATTATAACATTCTTACCTTTTCGATAAATGATTTTAAATAATTACAATTAAATTAAATCATTTTGTCGATCTTTTTGGCTTTGCAGATGATTCCCGTTTTCTGAATCCCGTTTCTAAAACAATATCAAATACAACATTATATGACTTTTTGACATAAATGATTAATGTTTTAGTACTCCAAAATTTGTTTAAAATTTTCTCGAAAATTTATCACTTTATATAGCTGTGATAAAATTGTATAATTTATATAATATTCTATAGATATATTCATACTTATATTGTCAATATATTTTTATATATGAGAAATTACTATATTTTAGATATAATAACAAATTTTCTATATACAATCTATTTACCATTTGCTATGGCAGCCACGTCATCAGCATCTAATGTCTCATACTGTAATAAGGCTTCTGCTAGTTGTTTGTGTTCTTTCATGTGCGTTTTCAAAATTGTTTTCGCACGTTCATATGATTCCTGTAAAAATATAAATATAAAGACACTTTAGTTAGAAAAAGAAGAAAAGTTATAATTAATAATTTCTTTATAATAAAAAATTCTATTTTAATAAAATGATTGATAAAATTGTATTGAAAAAAAAAATCTGTTTCTCATCGGCTCATATTTTTAAGAGAACGTTAAATTTACCTGTAAAAGCCGCTTTACTTCATTGTCGATGAGCTCGTTCGTGCTTGGCGCGTACGTGATGCCGTTACTGAAAAGCTCCTTATTTTCCACTATTGACCTGAATCCCACCTTCTCCGACATTCCGTAAATCTTCACCATCCCCTCCGCTATTTTCGTCGCTTGCTGCAAGGAGAAAAGAAAATATCTCTATACATTTATCTTAATTTTTATCCCTAAAATTTTCTTGGCTAAATAAATAAAATGATTCTTATCAAATTGTATAATACAATAGCATGAAAAAATTAATAAATCAAATCTTTTAAATATAAAATGTACAATTTTTTTCTTTAATATGATACATTTTGAAAACCCAAGACTTAACAAATCATAAGTGATAACATTCAAACTAAGATTGCGTTATGAAGTAAAATTAGTGCGTTATTAATTAATAATCATACTTCTAAGTCGGCAGAAGCTCCTGTCGTCACTTTTTCCGGGCCAAATATTAATTCTTCTGCAGCTCTGCCACCCATCATGGAATCCATATTAGCTAACAGTTGTGACTTCGTGATATGATAGACATCTTTTTCTTGCATAAAGGAAGTCTAAGAAAAAAATATATATATAATCTGTAGATTGAAAAAAATACAAAATCGAGCAAACAACTTAAAAAGATCTAAACGTCATTACGACTATTACAATTAGAAATAATTTTAATAGTCATAAATTATTGCACATAAATATAAATTACATTTTTGAAAAGATTTCTAAGAGACAAAATAATTACAAAAAATGATTAATTCATTGGGATCTTTTATAGCAATTATCAAAACGAAATTAACTAAACGATAAGTTAGCTACATACATGTCCGTTTGTCGGTCCTCGTGGCACAATAGTGACCTTATGAATCGGCGTAGCATCTTTCGTGTAAAATGCTACTAGAGCATGCCCTGCTTCGTGGAACGCTGTAATACGAGTGTCTTCTTGATCGCGTAACTTTAGCTTGCCCTCTGGACCCATTAATATTTTATCTCTAGCATACTCCAAATGCTTCATAGTGACGCAGTCAGCTTCATCAATCGCTGCGCGCAACGCGGCTTGGTTTACCTGCGACATTATAATAGGAAACTCAATTTATTACATACATTTGTCTTTCAAAATTAAATAAATAAAGAAAATTAAGTTTTAGAAATCTACTTTGAAAATCTTTAAACTTTCTATGTTACGTTAAGAAAATAAATTCACCGCAAAATAATGAAAGAAATTTCTAAATAATAGGTAAAACGATATAACTGAAGCTATATAATAAAACTTTTTTTCACCATGTTTTCGAGATCAGCTCCAGTGAATCCCGTAGTACAGCGTGCGAAGTAAACCGTATCGACTTCATGTGTCAATATTCTGGACAAGTAGAGGTCTAGTATTTCCTTACGGCCGATATAATCAGGCTTGTCAACGTAGACCTCAACATCGAAACGGCCAGGTCGCATTAGCGCTTTGTCGAGATCCTTGCGTCTGTTCGTGGCACCAAGAACTATGACACCTTCATTCTGACGGAAGCTTAAAAAATAATAATAACAAACTCGAAATATTATATTGCACACACAACGACGTTTAATCTCAATCAATTCGTAAACTCACCCGTCCATTTCAGAAAGCAATTGATTAATTGTCTGATTTGCGTACGGATGAAGAACCGAGTTCGTCCTCTTCGCACCCACGGAATCGATCTCGTCGATGAACACTACGCACGGTGCCTTTTCCTTCGCCGCTCCTGCAAAAAAAGTCATCACATTGACGTACTTTTCACAATTTTGGCAATTTACTTTATTGCTACTTTTTTTTTTGTAGAATCCGTCCTATTGCCCGTTGTTGGATTTTACTCACGGAACAAATCTCTGACACGTCGAGCACCCTGGCCAACGAGGATCTCATCGAATTCCGGGCCTGCCACGTGGAAGAACGGTACGCCGGCCTCTCCAGCGACTGCACGCGCTAACAATGTCTTTCCCGTTCCCGGTGGGCCGACTAGCAACACTCCCTTCGGCAGCTTTCCTCCGAGGGCGGAAAATTTATCAGGATTTTTTAAGAATTCCACTACATTCAGAAGCTCCTGTTTCGCTTCATCCACCTGTAAATTTACAAACGTTTAGAATAAATAGATCAGTGTAAATTGTCAGTTCATACGTAAAATTAATTCATTACAGTAATTAGATATTTTATAAAAAGTATTCATTGCTTACCCCTTTAACATCGTTAAAAGTGACATGAATGTCCTCAGGATCAATTTCAATTCTATGGCTCATGGGAAGTTTGAATATTCCTCCTCCTGGATAGCTGACTGCACAATATAAATAATTTAGTGAAAAGGCAGTAGAAACTTTCCATGCAATAAAAATAGCGTTGATTTTTATACACGTACAGTAAAACCAAATGAAAAAAATAATAGCGGAGACGGTTATCATATTCTGTATGATTTTCGGCCACATTGTTCGGCCACGAGTCTGACGTTGCAATCCCGACTCGTATCCCTCTACGAAAGCAATTTTTATTCTCTTCTGCTCGTCCGCTGTTGCCTCAGTATTGTTGAAGATATGTTTCAGTTTCTCATAGTCCGGACTCTTTAGCTCGGACACCTGCAATAATAAAATAAAAAAATGTTTTATTTGTCGCACAAACAATGTGCCATTATTAGGCATTATTAGATCATTGAATAGATTTGAATAAAATATGGTGGTACCACTTGTATATTAGAAGACAGGCCGAGCCACTTCTTTAGCCTGCTCATGAACGGTGGACTGTCCAGTTCCATTTTCATGTTACGCTGCGACTTGAATGTACGAATCGACATGTGATTCTGCAGCTTTTTGCCGTACCACGTGTGCAACAGTCTGTGCTGTTGTTTCGACGCTAGATGGATGACGGGTAGAATAACGGGCTCCGTGAACGAGGAACACGGGAAGTCCCGTTTGTTCTCGGCGAAACTTAGGCCGGATAAGTAAGACACTCGCCACTTGTTCTCCGCCAAGGGTCTTTTAAATACCCTGACAGCTACGTTATCCAGCATTAAGCATACCTTATTGTCCTTCATTCGCAACACATTCAATGTGTTCAAATTTATCTCCGGTAACTCGGTGCAATTTCTCGCTGCCTGAAACGAATTGAAACCTTACGCTTGGACAAACAAAACTTTCGTTGTATATAGATAAGGCAAGTGCGCATACAAAATTGTAAAACTTTTAACTAATCTTTACATATTTCTTATATATCTTTGTAATCACATCTCATTAATTATTTAATATACAATTTGGCTATATTAAAAAAAAAAGATGTAGAAGTAGCTGTAGAAATATCTGGGAGTATCCGATCGACCACATTACAATGGGACACAGCCACTCGCAGCGACCAGTGCCTAAAGGCTTTCCAGTTTCAAGCGCTGTGTTTGCGCTGTGTCCAATTGTAACATGGTCAATTATCGAGTACCACCACGAAATACCTCTTCAAGGCTATCAGGACAAATTGTTGCCTCCTCCGCGTTCTTTTGTAAGGACTCATTCTGCTTCTTAGCCGAATACGAAGTCGTCCTAGGAGTCGCGGTCAACGCCAGCTGCGTCAGATGATACAAGACCTAAAATTCGGAGAGTTTTAATTCAGTCGTTATCCGGACATTTACACGATTCATCTTAAAATCAGTAAGAGAAAGAAATTAAAAGAAATGTGATTCATTCTATTACGATCGCCGATACGTACACAATCGGCTGGAATCGAAAGGCTTGTAAACAAGCGAAATTTTTAAATAAATCATCGATCTTAAGAGTTTTTATTGCGTCGATTGCATGTTGTTTTGTAACGATTAGACATGTCAAATGTAATAAATGTAGAAATAACAAATCTGACAGTGTGTCGCAATTCGCAGCGCATATCTGTCTCGTATACATGTGTAATTTCGGAGCAATTTCGTATTGCGCGGACAAAAATAGATCGAGCACATAAATATGCACGTTTATATACATATTTCTAACAAAAGCTACAATGCACTTGCACTTGTGCAAGGACGGCAAATCATATATATATGCGCGAGAGATATGCGAAACATGCTGTCAGAAGGCATGATGAAATTGCGGCACGTCACGAGGGCAAACCTGATTGTGTGACTGGAGGGATATCATAATCAGCGTGTCTCGGCACGGGAGAGTCGTGCGAGTTTGCGTGGCACTACGAACAAGACGATCCGGGATCAGAGGAACGAAATTGCGCGAAACCGACGGAAATCGCGGCCGTGGAAGCGAGATCGAGCGCGATGCCGATCGTCCGGGTCAATCCACCCGATCCACCCGCGAGTCTGTCTGAACGGCCGCGGTGCTCCTCGCAGACGTGATCACGTGACCGATCACTTGGCAATTTAATGGAACATCGAACGCGATTTTTTTTTAATGCGCGAGGACCGCGACCGTGTTTTGAACACGGAGCCAATTGATGGTTAGCTGTCAAAGGCATGAACTAGGAATTTGCTAGGCTCGCCAAATATCGATGACTCATGGCTCGCTCGCCAGCGACGCGATGAAAACGCCATCTCTTTGGACACTGTCGAAGATCTACGCGACTGAATTTGGCACTCTTGGAAATCGGATAAACATAATCCGTTGTAAAGCCCGTATCAAACTAAAAATTGAGATTGAGATTGTAATGGAATTTGACCAATTAAAACAAAGTTCACTAAATTTGAGATTGGTTTTCTTTCTTCTAATTGGTTAAATCCCAATTCAATCTCAATCTCAATCTTTAGTCTGATACGGGCTTAATAAGGGGCTTTCTACAATAAGCCGTTAGTCACTACTCATATCATACTAACTAAGAATTGACCAATCGTAATCGATTATTTTTGTTAGACTCAACTGTGATTGGTCAATTCTTACGATTTACGGCTTACGATCTGACATACGACGTATTGTAGACAGCCCTTAAGCCTTAAAGTCGTAAGAAATTGACCATTCGTAGTTGAATCTGAAGAGAATAATGGATTATGATTGGTCAATTTCTTACAGCTTAAAGCCGGTTCTACATTAGTTGCAAGCCGATCGCAAGCTTGTTGCGACAGCCAATCCGAAGCATTGCATTCAAAATGCAAGCTTCAGATTGGTTGTCGCAACAAGCTTGCGATCGGCTTGCAACTAATGTAGAACCGGCTTAAGGCTTCCTACATCTATTGTGTTTCGGGACTTAAGTATGAACTTCAAAAAAGCCAGATTGTTTATCAATTTATTTTATTTTATTTACAGTTAAATTCTTATTACAAAAAGATGCTAAAAGATTTCGAACAACGTAATCAATGATAATCTTATCAAGTACATTCTGTATATTTAATTAATGTAATTAGGAAACAAAATTAGAGATGACGAACTTTGTTATTAAAAATTTTGCTTAAAACGATTCTTATTAATTAATCGCGTTGATTAAGCTAATCGAAATTTATAATTGTCCCAAATTGTTCTGCTCTTTTTTGCTCTATTTTTTGTTTCACACACCTGCATATGTATTAAATATAATAAATTTAGCAAATAGATATAATTCATTGCAGTAATATCTCATTTTAATAAAAATATAATTTTGTAATGCAATTTTGAATTTTTCAATCACGACGCACGGATAAACGCACGTGATGCTGGAAAACTCGATGCGGGGGCGGCTTGCGGCCGAATCGCGAATCGGCGTACGCCGTCCGGCAGCGGGCGACCGACCGAGCGAGGAGGAGGAGGATCTGGCAGAGGAGATCCTGCCACACAGTCCGTGGTTGTGCATGCGGCGGTGTTTGTGTAATGTAAAGCAGGTTACGATGCGCTCTCCGCGTAATGACGTTTGTTGCTAAATATCGGCCGCGCCGGAGCGAGCAGTGAGCCGCCGAGGTGCCAGTCGCCGTAGCCTACCCCCGCGTCGAGGACCAGGTACGAGAGCGCGGTTGGCACCTGACCGAGAAGACGGTCCGTCCGTCCGTCCGTACCGCGCGCACCATCGAGGGCACGCACGCACGCACGCACCGTCGCGCGCCGCCGGACCGAACCCTCGCGGCGAGAGCGACAGCGAGCGCGAGGCACGACGGCGAGAGAGGAGAGGTTAGGGAGTCGCGCGAGCGAGACGAGAGAGTGAAAGAGAGAGTCGAGGAGTCGACGTGCGCGCAGCCGATGCTCATCTCCCGAGTCAGCGAAGGTAATTCACGTGCGTCCGGGGGCCCGGTCGGCGCGGCGTGGCGCGTCGCGTCGCATCGTCGCCGCCGCCGCCGCACGCGCTACCCACCGCGAGACCTGTGCCAGACCTAACCTCTCCTCGCGCTCCTCCGTCGCTCCTCGCTTTTTTGCCCGCCTGCATGTGCGTCACGGCGCCAGGCTTTCCTAGGCGAGTTCGCTCCTACCCGCGTCCCATCGTTACTCCCCCGGGTGCCAGCTCGCCCTCGCGCGCGGGCCCCGACCGCGGCCTCGGCTTGTTTGTGCAACCACCACTTTCCCTCCCCCGACGAGACAGATCGTCCCCTCGTCGCGTCGTGGATGAGATATAGGTGTCAATTTGGTCTCATCGCGAGCGCACGCACGAGCATGACACGCGGGGGGGAATACCGCGGATTCTTTGGAAATCGAGGAACGGCGTGTTATTTAGCTGCGGATCTCCCGTGGTGATCGCAAATGGCGATGGATTCGTTCGCGTGTAGCGAGCAGTAGGTCAGTCTCGTGAATAATCGCGTGAATCGGTTGTGGGCCCGCGGCCCATAAAACCAATTTCTCTTGTGACCGCTGAACGCTTTTACGGGGTGGCTGCGGAGAAATTTACAGGCGTAACATCCGATATATGTGTTTTATTAGGGCCGTTAGGTAAAATGCATCGAGGCGGTGAGTTTGTAAACACGTGTGTCCACGCCGTTCGGCGATTTTCTATCGCGGTGGATCAACATTCGGTTCCGTTTCATTTCTCGCGTTATTATTTAGCGTTCATATTTTAAGACGCAACACAGACGGTTTATATTGCGCACATCCGTGATGCACGTTGTTAAAAATTTGAAGCGTGTATGCAAAAAAATCTGTGTAATAAAAATACATATTCAGGCGTCGTCAAGAGTCTCGTAAATTTGTAACTGTCGCAAATGTTAAAATGTTGCAAGTAGAAAATGCATATGTTTGAGAAATGCAATATCAGTTTTAATGAAAAAAACGTGAAATAAAATTAAAGAAATGTAAAATTAGTTTAACATATGTAAAACAAGGATACAGATGGATGTACTATTTAAAGATATATTCTCTATTTTATTATTATTTTCTCTTGCAATTTTATTTGTTATACATTATTTCTTTTTTATATATTATTTGTAATTCTATTCGTTGTACATTATTTCTTTTTACAATGCCTGAATATGTACTCCACTTAAATCTGAAAAGATGACAAAGCAGATTATTTTATAGCTGGAATATTTATATTAAGATACTACATACTTTTTTCAAATTTTTATGATTTAGTGATATAATTGTAATTAATTGAAGGTTATATTTTTGACATAAAGAATTTTATTTCAAATGCAAAACTGTTTATACATATTTATACTAAATATTGATATTAACATCATGAAATAATTAATAACTTAATATTTAGAAACCGGCTATTAAAAATGCAAAGAAACTCTTTGTTATTAAGATTACTTTTTTCCCCAAAGGAAATTTTTGTTCTAAACAGATGATGTTAAAGCTAAAATTAAAGGATTGTATTATTTACGTACTTAATATAGCGTATTTCAATTATTTGTCACAAGGATCAACTATCTTACACATACTTTGATTATAAATCTAATATTACATTTTGTCATTTTTAACACTAGTTGCATTATGTTATGCGAACATAAATAATATATATCTGATGGATATATATATCTTTCAGAATATGAGCGATCATTACCGCATCAGATATGACATTAAGTGGCATCAGTAATCAGAAGTTACAATGATTGGTACAGCCTGTACTTTGGAAGATGCGTGTCGGCAGGCTCAGGTGTGTGGCACAATTTTCAAACTGTAATTCTTTAATGGCCCAAAAAAACTTTTAATCAGTTATTAAAAGAACGGTTTTACCCTATATAGCGATAAAATCCTCATTTTCATATTTTCATTCGTCCTCATATTCATCCATTGCGTTGTTTATGCAGGATATGATTAGTCTAGTATCCAGATGTTCGAAGAATGTCCAAGGTCAGAATTCGTTGGCCTTAACATCGGATAAATCATTATCCTCTCAGAAAAAAGAGCAGAGTCACTCCAGGCATAGTATCCAATCCAAACTCACGAGACTCTATTTTGAAGAACTTTCTAAGGTTCCTCATGCAACCCCAGATTCAGTTTTAGTATGTTCACTTTTCAAACATTTATTACGAAATTTTTGCTTGTCGTTTTTTTTTTTTTGTAAAAATATCGCAATACGGCACTGTATATTCCATGTCTTACGTAATTTTGTACTTCATTTTAAACGTTACAGAACAATCTTGAGAATGAGTGTGATCTTTTGGGGCGGTTAGTGCAAAGGGAAGGTTTTAATACATTAATCGTTAATCTCTATGCTGGTAATAAAGGATACTCATTAGCTGTAAGAAATAGGTAAGCATCTGTTTTGGTATGCTAATTATCTTTCTGAAATATCTGATTAGCAATAATAGTATCTAACTTTTTAAATTCAATGATAATCCTATTACAAGATTTAGATTAGATTATAAAGAAAAATAAATTAAAAAAAAAATCTTTCAAAAGCAATGTTTTTACGCGAATACGTTATTCATATTTGAACTTTTGATTCTTTTGATTGCCCGTTTACAGTGTCATGTTGCTATGTGATCGTCTCTGTATCACAAAATTATTATGATATATTGGTATTTTAAAATACAAATTAGAAATATTAAACTCATTAATTGTCATATTCTGTCAGATTTAAAATGGTTTGAGGTATCATACATATGCCAGAGAAGTAAAATGCACTTTACATGTGTGATTAATTTATTGAAAATAAATAAATGTTAGTTCCTCAATTTTAGAATTGGATTTCAGGATTAATACAAAGATCTTATTTTTCGATAGCGATAAGGGGAATCAATACGATAAAAATTCATTAGCTGAGACTCAACTCATGGGTTACGAACAGGGTGAATTGCTTTCGTGCATAGATAATGGCCAATTGCCAGCTATGCTAGCCGAACAATTGGAATCTAGTTATTCACATTTATTTTACGACGGCTGCATAATCGCTGAAGTTCGAGATTATCGAAGATCATTTCCTCACAACAGAGCTGAGGTCCATCATGTACTTCTTAAACCTACTACGCAGGTAAGATCTTGTCATCAGAGGTCATTAAAGACATATAATAGTATAAATAATAAGGATAACAATATTACACAATATTTCTTAATTCGTATGCAGAAAATATATTACTTATCCCTTACTCTTCAAAATAATCTATCTTAATCAATCTAATTCATTATAATTTAAATTGAATCTTGAAAACTACTGC